CATGGATTCAGTTTTTGTCAAATCCATTTTTAATTAGAAATTGCCTTTGATTGAACGATGTTCCTTAGTCAGAAATGACTTGTAATGAGATGTTCTTATTCCAAGGAATTAACTGGTATTTGCAATATAAACTTTAAGGAAAAAGTTCCTTATAGTAGTACTTTAGTGTTGCCCGTCTAAAGTATAAGAGAAGGATGATATTTTTGAGTGCTATCTGATTGGTGAAAATTTGTTAATAGAATTTTTGAAGATTCCTTTTTCTATAATATTGGAATCTGGCAAATATTCCTTTACATTTTCAAATTTCCTAGTGAGCTATTATCTTTTGATGTAATCAGTCACCCAGCTTTGAACTGCTTTTTTCTGTTGCTCTTTCTGAATTGCTCGTAGCACTTCATCCTATGTTGAATTCTTTATCTATTTGCTATTGGATTGTTGATGATATGGTTTCCATGAGTTATCTTCGTCTAATTTTGCTGAACATGGAAACTTTTTTCCTTATATGTGAGATAAAAATATTTTACATGCTTCCTTTCGTGTTTTGTGCTCTTTTTTTTGGGTGTTTTGAAGAGCAAAAAACAAGAAATGAAGCACACTCTTCTTTGGACTGCGGGGTAAAATTTATGAGAAGTTAAAAAATGTCAATATACATTAATATAGTGCTATACTAATTTCAATTTCCAATTCAATAATGTCAATATTAATCGAACTCCTCGAAAAGTTGAGATTGAATGAGCCTTCAAACATTTCTTTTGGATCACTTTGCGCATCATTGTTTGAACCACACTTCTCTGAACTGCATGGTTTCACCCGTGAAATAATAGCTCCTTGGTCTCATCGCTTCATCACTGGAAGTGACAGCTTTTAACAGCACTGCTCTTTTTTCTTCTCTTTTCCATATTCAGATTTGCTTAGTAAATACCATTTCTTTTGTAGGGACCTGCTCAAGCCCAGAACTTGAGGGATTCTCTCGCAGAAATAAAATCTGACATAGTTGTTAAGGTAATACTTCATCTTCTTCTGCTTTCTCCTTCCCATCCCACAGAGACAGATAACAGTGGAAGATGGTGTTTGAAATGGTGGTGAAATGTGTTATACTTTTGGCATATTGTTAAGCTTACAAGTGTAATTTCTGTTTCATGTAGATTGGTTTAAGAAAGGGTTCAAGCTCATTTGCAGAGGCCCGCACAGCTGGGTTTACTGAAGAGAACGGAACCCTTGGTGACATATACGAGACTATCTCTGGCAGTGATTTAGTGCTGCTTTTGATTTCTGATGCTGCTCAGGTTGGACATTGTTTTAGCCTCTGTTTTTGTTGTGGCAACATTTGGTAATTACGTTTTTTGATGGTTACATTTTATTGAAGGCTTCCTTCACACAATAGTTCAACCTCTTGGCTAACTTGGTAGATATTTTTTGGTTGAGTCTACAATTATTTTGGACTAAGATATGATATTGTTACTTTTTGTCTTCTGTTCGTCATCTTTTGAAATCACATTCACGTTGGGGTGCTAAAATGTGTGAATTACAATGTTAGGGCCAACTTTTGTCTTGGTATAACTATTGCTAAAGCATAAATTTTTAGTATTCGGAATCAATGTAAACAGAAGCATTCTTGGGAGGCGGAAGGGGTTTAAATATTGCTGTCTAATTTTTGTGATGTATGTGCAGGCTGATAATTATGAGAAAGTGTTCTCTCACATGAAGCCAAACAGCATACTTGGGCTTTCACATGGATTCCTCCTTGGCCATTTGCAGTCAATGGGCCTTGACTTCCCAAAGAACATTAGTGTGATTGCTGTATGTCCTAAGGGAATGGGGCCCTCAGTCAGGAGATTATATGTTCAAGGAAAAGAAGTCAATGGTGCTGGAATTAATTCAAGTTTTGCAGTTCACCAGGTCTATTTCAATGACCTTTCTCTACTCTCTTTCCTTCAAGCCATTAATTTATGTTCAATCAGTCTCACACGGTCACACCTTTTACTATCTCCAGGATATTGATGGAAGAGCCACAGATGTTGCTCTAGGGTGGTCTGTTGCCCTTGGTTCTCCCTTTACTTTTGCTACTACTCTAGAGCAGGAATATAAAAGTGACATTTTTGGAGAACGAGGTTAGTGTGTTTTCAAGTCTATTTCTAGCTTACTAAAGCCGTTATGGTTGAGTAATTGTGGTTCCCTCGTTAGGTATTTTACTTGGTGCTGTCCATGGAGTTGTGGAGTCACTTTTCAGAAGGTACACTGAGAATGGAATGAATGAGGAGCTTGCATACAAGAACACTGTAGAATGCATAACTGGAGTCATTTCAAAGACCATATCAACAAAGGTCGGTCTTCAATTTTTATCTTCCGTAAGAGTATTATGTCGAGGAAGATGCTTATGTAGCACTTTTGTTAAAAATTTCCCTAAAATTGTGGTATGCACATGTATCCGTTTTCCAGGGCATGTTGGCTGTGTACAACTCATTGACTGAGGAGGGCAAGAGGGAGTTTGAAGCTGCATACAGTGCTTCATTTTACCCCTGCATGGAGATTTTGTATGAGTGCTATGAAGATGTAGCTACAGGTAGCGAGATCAGGAGTGTTGTCTTGGCTGGCCGCCGCTTTTATGTAAGTCATCTTTTACTCTGTAGTTTTATGATAGTAACTTGGCCGGGTTTGGACTATGGTTTTAGTTTAGTTCTTTAATGATTAGGTTTCGAGATGTTTTTGAAGAACAATTCTGGGGAAATTTTGCACAAGTGGATTAATTTGAGAAAATGTTTTTCCCAGTATATTTGGACTAGTTTTTGTCAGACCTTTGGTTTTTCAGTTACAGGAAAATAAGTAAGATTCCTGAAAAGAGTCTGTTTTAGAAACAAACACAATTGTTTCAGGTTTGGAGCACTATCTAAAAACTATGCTAATTAATGTGGGCTTATTTTTTTACCCAATCAGCTATGAGAATAGCAGAAGGGCATTGGTTTTTTCTCTATATAAGTTTCGAGACTATAATCCTCCTACTAAGCCAATGTGCCTTTTTTCGGTGAAATCTTAATTTTGTTCACATGTTAGACCTAGTACTATAAGGTCTTCAAGGGGATAGTTGAAGAAAAACGTCAAATACTAAAATAAAATGATTTTATCTTTGGCTTCTGTACACGCAGGAAAAGGAGGGCTTACCTGCCTTCCCAATGGGGAAAATTGATCAAACAAGGATGTGGAAGGTTGGTGAGCGCGTCCGAGCAACCCGACCAGCCGGTGATCTTGGTCCTCTGTATCCTTTCACTGCTGGTGTCTTTGTGGCATTGATGATGGCCCAGGTTAGCATTTCTACTTTATACCTCTATTTTTATTCTTATATTTTATGCTTGAGCCATGGAAGTATTGCATGATATTTCAGGATATGCTTGAAGTGCTCTTTTGCTCTGGTCGCTTTCTCTTCCTTTTTAGATAATCATATTTACTCTTTTGCTTATGTGCCTTGGATTCGATACTTTTAGGACATCCAGCGTAAACGGTGTTAGCATGCCACTTGAACATCTGAATCTTGAATTGAGAAAGTTGTGCTTTTTGAAGAATTTTTTGCCTTAGAACTCAAATGAATCTTACTATTTTTTTTTAAGTTCTATAAAATCACTATGGAAAGGGTTGCCAAATGATGAAAGATTACGTGAATATAAAATGACCTGTTCTCTGACATTCCTTGTCATCTAAAATATTGTCTTCGGAAAATATGAACAGATTGAGGTTCTGAGGAAGAAAGGTCATTCTTACTCCGAGATTATCAATGAAAGTGTCATCGAGTCTGTAGATTCATTGAATCCGTTCATGCACGCTCGTGGAGTATCATTCATGGTTGACAATTGCTCTACAACAGCACGTTTAGGTTCCAGGAAGTGGGCCCCTCGATTTGATTACAACCTCACCCAGCAAGCACTTGTAGCTGTGGATAATAATGCCCCTATCAATCGAGATCTCATCAGCAACTTCCTTGCAGATCCCGTGCATGGAGCTATTAAAGTATGTGCGGAACTGAGACCCACAGTTGATATTTCTGTAACAGCAGATGCTGATTTTGTCCGCCCCGAGCTCAGGCAATCTGGCAATTAAGGGTCACTTTGTGAGCGAGTTAGAATTTTGTGTAATTGTGAGGTTGAGATTTCATATTGTTGATGTGTGTTGGTGAAGGCAAGAATACTTAAATCTGTTAGCTTATAAGAATCTTAACCTTTTTCGGGTACTAGCACTTTCTTTATGTAACCTTTTGCTGAATAACAGATTCGAAATTTGGGAACCCTTTTAGCAAACTATAAAATGTGGGTTATGTGGCAGTAGCATGTTTCAGTCTCTACATGTGTAATTTTAACAGTTTTAGTGCGGTATTTTTCTACCATTTTTGTCCAGTTTTCATCTAAAGTTATGAACGAGAGCAACAACTTATTATAAAGAAATTTGTGTAAAATACCAACTTTACAAGTATGATAAAATTTGTGCAAAGTGTCAATGTTAATTTTATAGATATCAGAAGGCGTGATGCAACTTCATAGATATAAAAAGCAAGTACAAAAAGATTAAATGCGCAATAACATCATCATAATAGACAACATATTAAACACAAATTTTTTTTTTTTGATAAGGTAACTTTATTAAACACAAAATTAGTACAAACTTAACAATAAAGTTGAACTTTTGCATTGTTAAGCGAGATAAATAGTACAAAATAATCAAATTCATATATGACATCTGTACTTGACAATTTCACCATAGGAATAAAAAAAGAGTAAACAAAAATTTCGTATGTAATATATTGAAATGCAATGTAATATTAATAGTTATGACCAAAAATTGGAAAGAAAAAAAAAAGAAAAATTCACAATTAGAAGTTTTTCTGAATATAAAAGTATTTGCAAATCTCAAGGTTAAACTCGTATTAAGGCCCTGATAATACTAAAATAAGCACTGAATTCACCTGGCATGAGAACATAGAGTAAAAGGAGAAACTACAAAAGACTAAACTAAACACAAAATTTCATTATTTTCAATCCATTGGCAAAGCACTAACAGTAACTATGAAATTCATCCATGGGACTGTTAATTTTACAGAAAAAATGGTAGGCAGGCTACTAATCCATAACCATGTGAGCAAGAAACCAGAACAACGATTAAAGTTCTGAGTTTCAAAAATTATTTCATGTTTTTTTTTGTCACCCTGATCCCAAGAAGACATATTTCCTCTTTCAGGGTAACAGATGTAACTACTCGCTATGCTAATGCCAATCATATCCTTGTTCATTTTACGTTAAGGTCGCAATCATCCTGTATAGCAACTTCAGAGAAGAGGGACTTGAATGCACCTAGGGAGAATTCAGTCAGATTCAAGGCAGCATTGGCAATGGATTTGTCTTCCTCAAGTATTTCTATTTTGTCCGATTTTCCCTGTATGAATGACGCATGGAAAATGCTACACTTAGTACAGATGAGAAAATTAAGCAAGATAAAGTAGAGAGAGTGCTAAAACATGTGAACAGTGGACATAGTGATATGATAATTAAACATCGGCAAGCCAACTTCTCTGTACATCTTGGAAGAGGGTAGACAGGAACTTAAATGTTTATCAATTATATCGTTTTTGCAAGTATCTGTCTAAGCCTACCACACAATCCTACACAAATTTGGAAAAGACTTCAGTTGCTGTAACAGGAAAAATATGTTTTGGTTACAGTATTACAACAGCAGAGAGTGTTTCTGCTGTAATCATATGGAATGTCTGTGCCATAAACTCGCAAATGGACTCAGTAACAGGTACATTAATTTTGTGGGTTTGACTAATCAACTAAAGCAAGTATGAGATGCAAGCATACATATCATCGGAGTTGTAGGACCCAGCCCCATAGATAGAAATAAATCCGACATGGCAATAAAGGTATCCGATGGATTTCAAGTAGTGGTTCAGTAGTTTGATGAGGATGAAAACTTGAAGAAAAGGGAAGTTTCTTAGAATGTAAGAAATTCTAAGGAGGTCTGATTTCTGTTCTAAAAAGTAATTCTCTTTAGGAACTATTTTTATTGGAGGAAAAATTTTTCCTCCTATAAGTATGGTTTTATTCACTTAATTGTATGACAATCGAGAGATAGAGAAAGATGTAGTTATTCATACAATAGCAACACATCCAGTGAAGTCCCACAAAGTGAGGTTTGGGGAGGGTAGAGTGTACGTAGACTTTACCCCTACCTTAGAGGTAGAGAGGTTGTTAATGATAGACCCTCAGCTCAAGGAGTAGTTCTCCATAAGGGAAGAAAAAGAACTAAAGTGAGTGGTATTCTTGTGAGGGTGTCAAAGAAAATGTATTCCGAGTGTGTATAACCTAGTGGGTTTCCTCTTTTGGGTGGGTGAGTCTCTCGAAGACTTTGAAATTACCAGAGCAAAATTTTCAACTATAGTGATATTGTTTTGCTCCTTTTGGGTTGTGGCTTTTCCCTTAAGTTAAAGAAGAGTTTTCCACGTAAAAATATCATTATCCTTCCTTACTTTCATCCTGCTTTTACTATGGTTATCATCCCAGTGTTAATCCTTGAGTTTTAGCTAGTATAGGAGCATGAGAAGGGGTTTTCATAGGCACGGGCATACGATCAGTACTATTTACATGCAACAAGAATAAAGTATGTGCATGCCTAGCCATTTGCAGTGTTGTAATGGATGGAATACGACGAGACCCTTGTATACCTAACCATTGATGGGGTTGCAATGGATTGGAAGGTGTGAGACCCCGGTTTTGGTTGAGATGTTTTCTCAAAAAGAGAGTTGGGCCAAGGGTTTTTTCACAATGTAGATCTTTGTGAGGAAAAAAAAGGGAATGCAGGAGTGAGTGGTACTTCTGATAACCGAGAAATCCCCGAAGACCCCGGCACACGGTTCGAAACTTGGTGGATAATAGGTCCACCCTTCTCCACTTAAGTATCAAGTTTTTGTATGTGACCGGATTCGAACCCATGATGGAGCCCAATATATTACGTATATGTGCTCTTGCCACTAGAACTGCCTTGAGGGCAAGGGTGAGTGGTATTGCAGTAAGGGTATTGAATGTATTTTGAGTGTGTATAATACAGTGGATTTTGGGTTTTCAGTTTTGAGTAGGGGACTCATGAGGAAACTAGAACCTCCAAACTACTCTGTTATACTGATACTATTTTGCTCTTTTCGAGCTGTTGTTTTCCCCATAAAAATCTTGTTATTCGTTAATTTTTACCATGGTCACTATCATCCCGGTGGGTAATACAGGAAAATTAATAAAACTATCTATATCACCTCATCGTGTGATCCTCTGATGTAACCTACAATCACAACTTCCATTTTGCCAGGCTGGATCTGTTCGTCACTTGAATCAACTATACAAGCTTGCTGAAATGGAGTAGAAAAACGACTATGGTCATCTTTAAACTAGGAAAACATATAAGAACGAGAAATTTAAAATAGCAGCAGATAAAAGATAAAAGAGATGATAAAGCTAATGTATGTCAAGTAGGAATTAGGGACTATGCAATTAGACAAATTGTAACTATAAGCAACATCATGCATGAAGCAATTAAAATGCCTCGAGAAGATTACTGACAAACTTTTTCTTCTGCTAAAGAAAATCAGTGAACTTTTTTCATTGCTTAGAACATACGCACTTCCAAAAACTGTGCTACACTATTTGATGCTTAGTAGACAGCATGTCAAACTATATATAGCAGTTGTCCACTACACAGACACATTGAGTAATGCTCAATAAACACTTTATAACAGTCACAATAAGTGCACAGTTAAATACAGTATTCTGCAATACCCCTAACTGAAAACAAATAAGCAACCATAATACCGACAGTTCCCTGAGCATCAAACAGTGTCAAGTGAAGCAGCATTGGGTTAGTTTACTCACCATCTTCCTCTTAGAACTGCAGCAGCCATGTCCCCAACCAACGCCAAGAACAATCTTTATGAACTTGTACGCCTCAGGTTTTGCCCAGCCAAAATAAACTCCAAACACTTGATCTGGTAGAGTAGACGGCCCTTCATCTGGATATGATCTTTAGTCAGAATTCTGAGAGTCTAATAACACAAATAAGAAGGAATCAGGGAGGGAGGATATGGGGCTTGTCCAAGACCTGCAAAATCATGGAGGAGGCCATTTTTGTACAGACCCCTGAAATGAACAGGTTCAACCAGCAACGCATTATCAACCCCTACAATCATCAAGTAATAAAAGTTGCATTATGCTAGAAGGACATGCAGGACCAAAGCATAAAGAAGGTATACTGGAAAGAAACATACAGTCTTCAAATGGTGGGAGACCCCATACTTCCGGCTTTAAATCTAGGAGTGAACGAAGCACAGAATCAGCTATTGTATATTGATCAAATTCAGAATGGAAAGATGGCACAGCTACCACCTTCATTCCAGCAGCCTTGCCTGCCCTGACTCCGATACTGTCAAAGTTATTGGGTGAGGAACTACTGTCATATCAGTTTCGGTTAATAAAAAATGTTCAACAGTCGTGCATTAACTGCACAAACAAGGAGCAAGTCAATTTAAAGAAAAACAGGATTACTTTGATTTCTAAGGAAGTATCTGAAGCCCTTCACATGCATTAGTGTGTGCCACAGCACAGCACAAAAATTGTCAGCTTTGACTAGAGTTAAGATGGCACACACTCACATCTCATGTGAATCATGTTTAAGCTGTTCTAATTAGCAAAAATGATATGCTGGAATAGATCACCAGCTTTTGATACCAAAGCAGCATTAAAATTAGTAGAATTACACACTGTAGAAATTAAGACTTCCATGTGTAGGTACGTGTATCAATGAGTTATTTCAGTCTTGTCCAGAAAAGATCAAAACCAAGAGGCATTTATGGTTAAAGCCTCATGTCCTAAGATAGGCACAAGACTCATACTCACCCCAGTTTGCGATTAATGTTTCTATAGGAGGTAAAATAACTTAACATGCTCCATGCACCAGGAATGTGAAATTCAAGAACCAAATTTTTACACACATAACGCAAATTCACTTCTCAGTCCCACAAACATTGTTAGATGGAATTACGTACTCATGATATCATCATATCAACATATGTTAAGAATCAAAATCAGCTTCGAGAGTGTGTTCAGCTAGTCAAGTTAGCTATTAGTATGGGAAAAAAAAAGGAGGAATGTCAAACTTTTTGAGGTACATGTTAATCTGGTAAGAGTTTACATTAAGAGTTTAAGCAGTAAACTAATGCTAGACAGCTAGTTATGCTGATCGCTTGTGACGATGTAAGTTTGATCCTTGAGAATAGAAATAGTCACTTACATGAAAGGTGGATGATTTCCACCACTCACTAGCACACAACATAGGCATGCAAAGAACTGTCCAACTTAAACAAGCTAACTAGAAATGAGAAAGAAAAGGCGACTTACACAGAATCCTCTATCACTAGGCAGTGAGCTGCATCTGCACCCATTTGTTTTGCAGCTTCAAGAAATCTAAAATCAATTCAAGAATTCACAGGAAATTAGAAGAAATATATTATCTCACAGGTGACACCAATTATCAACCATTGGAAAAGAAGTTCAGTCTGTCAGTGATAACACACAAATTTTGCAAGATTTTAGACTAACAATAGCTTCTGAACAATGAACATGTATAGCACAAAATTGTTATTCGGTACTTATTTTAGACATAATAGGAAAAGGGGAGATTAATTGAAGACGCTTTAAAGGAATTAGCTATAGGGCTCTTGAATTGAAATACTTTTGCTTACATATTTAGTCTTTTTAGTCAACCATGAATATCTAAATAGCAGAGATCAAATGATAGATTTCAGTAACTTTATGAGCTTTTGAAAGAATAGTATCATGAGCAGTTTGTACATGCTATCGTAATTAAGCACCTTCTTGGTTCTCCTGCTATCAATGAAATATTCTCAGATTTTCTTCAAGAAAAATGTGATAACACAAACTTCGAGAGGAATAGAGGATAAAGGAGTATGTCATATCTTATGCATAGCAGTAACCAGAACTATTCAGAGAATCACCCACAGTAGAAAGCCTAACTTACATGTCTGGAGAAGGCTTCCCTGATTTAACCTGATCACTTCCAAGAATTACAGAAAAACATTCTTTCCAACCTAGTTCAATGAAGAAAAAGGATTATGTTAGTTTATAATATACACCTTCACAAGGAAACAACTGAAAGAAAATTGATGTGCTGACCATGATTGAAAGTTCATAAAGGTGACCTCATTTAGGAAGAGAAGGAAACATTTTTTTAACAATAAGATGATTCAAAAATAACACTTTGCTGGCTTTAACAAAAAGAATTTTCTCAGTCCTAAGGAACTGTCTTATGGACTATTTACTTCGAAAATAACAACACTAATTGATGAAGCAAGAAAATAAAAGGATAATGTGAAAAGGAGCATAATGAAGATAAACTACGTTTTACATTAATTTCTTAATGCGTTATAGCACAACCTTCTTGGAGAGAGACTTTCCCATCTATGTTTTTCCTTTTGGAATTTGAAGCAAGGGCAAAGGGAACTCCATGCTTATGGAGATGTCTTATAAGGCGATTAGCACCAGGAAGTGCTTTCGCTTGCAACCACCTGCAACAAAATAGGAAAAAAACTATACGTGAATACTCTGTTGCGCATTTGCTTAATCATTGAATATCTTAAATCAGTGCAGGGAAGCTGAAACTAGCTAATCTATCACACCGTCAACACAATGTAAGAAGATGTGCAAAATTATTGACAAGTGGAGGCGACTAGTGCATAGTGTTTTACTAGATTCTGTTAGTTATACAGAGCAGAGCATTAATATCGTGCGGCTAGTCAAATTATTAAAGATGTCATGGAAACAAATATTTCATTCTCATCATGTCATCAACTAGAATCGGAGACAATATCACAGAACATTTCACTCGAAGACATTAAGATATAACTTTGTAACAGAGTGTAGGAAAACGGGAAGATGCATGTGCTCTTGAAGCAACACAAAGAAGACTTCTATTCAACATGTAAGAGCAATAGGAGGATGTAAGGATCAATAACCATGTTACTTATCCAATATGAAGTAAAATGAAATGCACAAATATGATGATTTTGTAAGAAGATGACATCAAACAACATAGGCGGATCCAGGATTTGAACTTAATGGCTTTGAGTTCCGAATTCTACCTCAACCTATTAATGTGTTGTGTTCGGACTCTATGTTTGATACTATTTTAATGGATTTTTTAACACATATATTAGGTTTGAACCAAATGTATCAGTTTGGACACAGACAAATCCAAGATTTGAAGTTTATGGATTCCTATAGTGACCTCAAGTTAATATACAGTAATAATTGGGTTCACATTCAAATATTTAGTGGATTGATACATATACTGGGTTTGAGAAAAAGCCGATGAGTTCACATGAACCCATAAGTTATGTTGTAGATCCGTCTCTATTTTGGACAAATCCATAACTAATGCACTGGGTCTGCCACTGTTAAGTGTCAACCAATTATGCTTTATAGTAGTTTACAAGTGAATATCCATATAACAATATATCCAAAATAAAAAGAAACAACTAATATATTGAGAGACATGGTTTAAAAAACACTTACAAGTCATGATAAAAGGGCATGACTGCTTGGACATACTGATCGGGCGTGATAGGGAGGTCGTAATCACTGACAATGCCAATAGCGTACTCTTTCTGCGCCATGCCCAATCTTTTCTTTTCCTTCTCCTTATCTGGCACCTTCCCATATCCAGCCAGAAATTCCTTCAGAATTTCCTTTGTCAAGTGCTCTAAAACATACACATCCAAGATTTAGTATCAGTGGGCTCATAGTGAGGTGCATACAACAACATACCCCAGTTTAATCCCACAAGTGGAGTCTGGATAGGGTTGTGTATACACATCCTTACCATATCTCGTGCACTTTACTTTTAAAATTGTTTCTATGGGCCTAATTTAGATTATAAGTTTAAAAACTCAATCTTTCTTTCTTAAGCTTTATCCCACATATATTGCATCCCACAAAATGGAACTGATAGAAGCACCCAAAGGCGTGGCCTAGCGGTTAGTAAAGTGGATTGAAAATCATGTGGTCTCATATTCAAATCCCAGCAAAGACAAAAACACTAGGTAATTTCTTCTCATATGTCCTAAACTTGGTGGACAGAGTTACCTAATACCTAATACATGTTGCTGGTGGGAGGTGACAACCGACAGGTATCACGGTAATTAGTCAAGGTCATTGACATCAGATATTGACCCACCTGGTGAACTGCCTAGGTATAAGTCCTAAGCGCAAGCTGACTCAGACACCATGGTTTTTTAAAAAAAACAGGGACTATATCCCTACATTGTCAGAGTCAAAAACACCATTCAGTTGAACTCATAGTAAAAAAAAAAATTAGATCCCAAAACACAAATGCTACAAACCCAGAAAAATATAAAACTAAAAAGGGAGTGGAAAAAGAGGACCTGTACTCAAAAGGGTACCATCCAAATCAAAAATGACAGTTGAGATTTGAGTATTTCCATGTTCTTCTGCAGAATGAAGATCCCCCATTGTTGTGTGTCAAAGAAGTTTTAGGCTTTGCTGTGAAATCTGATGAATGAGCAGAGAAAACATAGAATATGAAGGATTTTAAAGAAATATTTTAACGAAAGGATCAAATTCCATTTGCAATTGGGCAAAGGTGCTTACACAGTATGGGGAGTCTTTTTCCCGCCTTCCAAAAGTAATTATTCGGTATTCCAAATATTATTGTTCCACTACGTATATCCTAAATTCCAATATCCTCTTCTTCCTTTTTGAGTGATGTTCCAATCAACAGGCACTTACATTATTTAACTTGTCCACTATGGTGAATTTTGGATTTTCAATATGAGGGTTTGGAAAAACAAAATGTTGTACTATCTGAAATTTTGAACCACCTCAATCCCTAAGCCAATTATCATTTTGTGTCTAGGAGATAGAATCTCGAGTTCGGAGCCAAAAGGACAACAAATTTTTTCGAAAATTTTAAAAAGGCAACAAAATTATTTATCAAACTAAAAGGGTAACAAATTTAAACATATCAAGGTTTCCGTCGCAAGGCGCGGATACCCATGCGACTTGTAAGGGATGGCATCTTTTAGCCTTGTAAGGCTCAGCCGCCATGAGCCTTACAAGGCACAGGGAATCTGCGCTTTCCAGCATTTTTCTAAAAAAAACATACTACTCTTTTACTGATATTAATTCTTTTTGTATTAATTATTTATCCAAAATTTTCACTAGTCTATAATTAACGGATGATTTTGAATGTGTGTGATAAAAAAATATACTAAATTAAAAAATATTTTCAATTTCAAAAATTATTTTCTACTCTAGTAAAAATAAAAGATATTTCTCAAAAACATTTTTCATTCATAAATCAAACACTAAAAATCTTTTCCAAAAAATATTTTCTACTCACCAACCAAACATGAGAAAACAAGTAAAAAATCTACTTGTTTTCCAAGAAAACATTTTCCATTGAAAACATTTTCCTTCATACCAAACACACCCTACATGTGTCTAATTTTAACAGTTTTAGTGCGGTTTTTTTCTGCCATTTTTGTCCAGTTTTCATCTAACGTTATGAACGAGAGCAACAACTTACAAGTTTTATACGTTTATAGTGTGTATTAGGAAAAATAATGCATGCATTAGATGTGTGTATTAGTAAAACCTTATTTGGTACATTTTTTCATGTCATGTATAATGTGTATTAAGTTGTGTATTACTAATACCAAGAAATTCTAGGTATTAGTAATACATAACATTTTAACACTTGCATTAGATTATATAATTATAAAACTACCCTCAAAACCATTTATAAAAACATTTTCCAAGAATCTCTGCAGCTGGTCTTGTGCTCACCAAGGATACCATTACTCGTTAACACATTTTCTTTACAAAGTAGTTGCCTGTATCCCCTGGAAGAGGTGGTGTAGAACTAAAGATTTCTCATGGGTGGTAAATAATTTGAATTTGTTCAATTTGACAAGCTGAGCTTTATGGTCCTGTAGAGTTTTACGCGTCTTCATCGCTGGACTCTCTCATATTGAAATATTGCCCTTCTTATTCAATATAGTTTAATCAAAATATTTACTATTGTGACGATTAGTTTAATAAAAAAAAAAAATTTGCCAACTTTTCACAAAAATATTTTGACGTAATAGTAACAACTATTTAATTTTATATTTGAAAAAAAGAAGAGAAGAGGAGTTAATGATGTTTTAACAAAGAAATCTTTTTTGATGTTTTAGCAAAGAACCTTGTTGCAAAGGTAATGTACAAAGAAATAAAGTGTGAAGGGTATTTTTGTAAACATACATTTTTTTAATAGAAATTATGCAAGATTTGTTATTTCTAATACATCAAACCAAACATTGTATAAAAAATAATGAAGGCATAACTAATGCAAACACTACTAATGCATACATTACTAATACACTCTATTTTGCATTGTTCTTATACACTCTACCAAACGACCCTAAATGAAGAAATTTGCGTAAAATACCAACTTTACAAGTATGATAAAATATGTGCAAAGTATCAATGTTAATTTTATAGATATCAAAAGGAGTGATGCAACTTCATTGATATAAAAAGCAAGTACAAAAAGATTAAATGCGCAATAACATCATCATAATAGACGCAACATATTAAACACAAAAATTAGTACAAACTTAACAATAAAGTTGAACTTTTGCATTGTTAACCGATATAAATAGTACAAAATAATCAAATTCATATGACATATGTACTTGACAATTTCACCATAGGAATAAAAAAAGAGTAAACAGAAATTTCGTATGTAATATATTGAAATGCAATGTAATACTAATAGTTATGACCAAAAATTGGAAAGAAAAATTCACAATTAAAAGATTTTCTGAATATTAAAGTATTTGCAAATCTTAAGGTTAAACTCGTATTAAGACCCTGAGAATCTATATATGTTTATAAAGCTGAATAAAATCACGCTGATGTGGCATGCTTCATTGATCAGTATTACTATTTCTTAAAATTTTGATTTTTTTCTCTCATTTTCTGTTCAATAACCTTTTAAAATAATTATTCACTTTCCTTATTATTAGCCTTTACTACATTTAACTCTTCCTTCCAAAAGAAAATATGTAACAGCTAAATACATAATGGAGCAATTAATGTGCATTATCACACATTTTTTCCTATTAAATCATTGCTTCAACCCACGTAATATCAGTTTTTTTGTAATCCTTAATCACCTATAATTAATTAGACAATTCATTCCCCTATTTATTCATACCTTCTTAGACCTTCCTTTGGGGTTTCATGTAAGTATTTTTTTCATATCTTCTTATACCTTTTTGGGGGGTTTCATGTGATTTTTTTGTTCTTCTCTTTCATCTTCTTCCTTTTATTTTATCCATCCTTGATAGCATCATTTTAAACAGGATAATTACTATGAAGCTTTTTGATATGAAGAACAGAAGAGGAAAGCCAGGAGTTGATTGTATCCATTCTTGATTTTATTTTTAACGTATGTATATATGTTACCATCCTTTGAAAAGGATTACTATGAAGCTTTTGATATAAGCCAAGAGTTTTTTATTATTATTATTTTATCAATATCAATGTTATTTAATTTTTTAAAGATTTTATTTTAGTTTTAGGAAGTTAAAGTTCTAATTCTATTCGATACGTCTCTCTCCCTAAATCTAAATTTGTATAGTATAATATTAAAGTTAAGTATACACAATGTAATATTAAAGTGATGTGATATCTCTCTATGTTTATTAAATTTAATTATGTTTTTTGTTTGAATTTTTTAAATATTTACTATTGTAATAAATTGTCAATGAAAAAGTGTAGAGAAAACTGAACATTTACATCAATATATATACTTCGGTGATGTGGCGCTCTCTAAGGCCACAATTCTTTTTACAATAGTAAATATTTTAAAAAATTCAAATAAAGATAACATGATATTTAAATTTGTAACTGGTAATGTCTCAAAAACAAAAGATGGCTTGTGGTTAGTATGATTTTGATGTTAGATGAGGTTAAGGCTTAATTTGGACATGGTATGAAAATATGGATGATGATTTTATAGCTATGAAAGTAGTTGTGTCGTGTTTTTAAAAAAAAACTCAAACACATATATACACACATGTGTTTATTCTTTTATTTTATTTATTTGTGTTTTTCTCCTTTATTTGTTTTTAAAGTTTCACCTTCATGACTCATAAGTCATACCTATTAAACTTCCACTTTCAATAATATAATTTATCATTTTGTCTTATATAAATTCACCATTTTTTGTTTCATAAGATATATTTCTACTCAAAGATATTACTTTTATTTTTTGTTCCTTATATTATTATTATTATTATTATAGTATCAAAATTTTGTGCATTGAATTTGTATTTTTATTTTCATCATCTTTTTTATTATATGATTAAGACCCTAAGAAAGATATGTATTCTCTTCATGTAACTGTTTTAGTTTGACTTCTTATGATTTTTTAATTATCATAAGTCTATATTTTTATTTAGATGCAATACAACAATGTCGGGAATATAGTAACTACTGATGAAGGCTCAAACAATACTATTAATGATTTACAAGAAATATATATATTAAATATTGAAATACATTCTTTTAATTGTATAAAGAATTATTTATATTTTCTTTAAAGATTCCTCCATTTTATCTACATAAATTCATAATTTATTGTTTGATGAGACCCCTACTCAAGATTATCCTTTTTATTTCATATTTGAAGTTATATTTTTCTTATATTACTATTATATATAAATAATTTTGGTTAATAAACACATTATTAAAGGAAAAATCTTCTAAAGAGCAAAGACTCGTAAATAATTCAAAATTGTAAAATTCATAATTTATTGTTTCATAAGACCCTACTCAAGAATATACTTTTTATTTCATATTTGAAATTATATTTTTCTTATATTACTATTATATATAAATAATTTTGGTTATTAAGGAAAAATCTTCCGAAGAACAAAGACCCATAAATAATTTAAAATTGTAAAAATCATAAAATTTGAGTAGGAATAATAAATTGAACTAAGACTCTTTAGTATAATTTTTCAGCACTCAATATTTCAAAATATATATATTTTATATTAATAAGGTATTTCATTATCGCGCAAAGCGCGATCAAATTCACTAGTGCTAAAATAAGCACTGAATTCACCTGGCATGTGAACACAGTAACAGGAGAAACTGCAAAAGACTAAATTAAACACAAAATTTCATTATTTTCAATCCATTGGCAAAGCACTAATAATAACTATGAAATTCATCCATGGGATTGTTAATTTTACAGAATAATTGGTAGGCAGGCTACTAATCCATAATCATGTGAGCAAGAAACCAGAACAATGATTGAAGTTCTGAGTTTCAAAAGTTATTTCATGTTTTTTTTGTCACCCTGATCCCAAGAAGACATATTTCCTCTTTCAGGGTAACGGATGTAACTACTCACTATGCTAATGCCAATCATATCCTTGTTCATTTTACGTTAAGGTCGCAATCATCTTGTACAGCAACTTCAGAGAAGAGGGACTTGAATGCACCTAGGGAGAAT